CCTCCCGCCCCTGGCCCCGGCCCTGGCCCTGGCCACAGGCTCTGGGAAAGCAGCAGGTGGGGCTGGAGTGGGGAGGCAGCAGCTGTTTGCAGCCTCCTGGATGCAGCCAGCCCCGGCTCTGGGTAGCTGCTGATAGCCACGGAGCCCAGGCTGCTCCCAACAAGGCTTGCAGGCTTGCAGCCTGCCAGCCACCTGCTGGGAGCATCCCAGTCTGTCAGCTGGTAGCAGCTACCCAGAGCCAGGGCCGGCTGCAGCCTGGAGGCTGCAAACAGCTGCTGCCTCCCCATCCCAGCCCCAACGCATAACGAGGAAAATGGCCTCGTGTGCCATGCTTGGCACGTATGCTGGGGGTTGCCGACCCCTGGCCTAGAGGAACCATTCCTTTCTTCGTAAAATGGCCAGAAAAGAGCATAGAGCTGAAAATGTGACTTTCTTTTTCTTCCAAAGTTTCACATCCAAGGGCGCAGATGGCATCAGAAGGAAATCTTCCATGAAAGATTGTTTAACTTCACTGCAGCTGAAGAGGCTCCAGAGATGTGTCTAGATTTACCTGTGGGCACTAACTATACAGTAAACATTGCCATAGTATTTCCTGAGCCCTCAGTACCAGTTACTGTCATGATTCACACAGCTGGTAAGTGCTGTTTGCTTTACAGAGCTATGTTGCATTAGGGGAAGTTAACTCAGAATGAACTATGGCCATTTGACTGATTAATTGTGGCGTAAGTGAAGTGGTTAAGGGACTGCAAATGACTGGAGCAATGCATGTACCAGATTCAAAAGTCTTTTTGAGAAAGAAATGTACATGGTCACTGGAGAGAAGCCACATGCGAGAAATTGTGAAGGATTGCTTGGCCAGGGATCCCTGGATGAATGCTGTGTGGGAGACCATGATGCATGGTCAAGGTAAATAGTCCTTGGAGGGAGGATGTACCATGACTATGAGGTGTGGTCAGAATAGATATTTGCTGAAGAGAAACTTTGTGGGAAGGGTCAATGAGAGAGACAGAGAATTTGATGGCTTAAATTGAACTTGTCATGTTTTTCTTTTTTGGCAACTGCACCTTAAATAAAAATATGCTTTAAAAAAAATGTTACTTAAAATGTGAAAGATAATAAAAACCCTAATCTTCTCTTAGGTTAGGAAGGTATATTTTGTATCCCATCTTATTCTTTATGTACTTGGATCGCATATTGAGAATATATAACAAAAGCAGAATGTCAGAACTGTATTCCACCATACAGCTCTAAGGCTAAAATGTAGAGGTTACTGGGGCAGCATGGCCTGCTGGGTGGGGTCACAGGAATGCCATGCAAGAGACCTGTTTTTTTTCCCCACAGTCTGTCTCTACCCTGCTTTGAGACTTTGGGCAAGTCATGTTACTTCTCCATGTTTCTGTTTCCCTTCCAAACTTTCATCATCTTGTCTATCTGGATTGTCAGGCCTTCAGTACAGGAATTATGTCTGGACAGTTGTCAAACTTGAAAAGTAATTCAGATGAAGGTAGGATGTGAGTTTAAGGTTCAATTATATTTCAACAGTTTCATGTGTGAAGGCTTTTATTATGTAACAAATGTTTGCATATATAGGAGTTCAGAAACAGTTATATGCTGCAAAAAGTCCTTGTGTAGACAAGCCTTACATGGATATTAGTTCAGGCTGTGATACCTTGTAGCTTCTAGGTGCTGTTGTGAAAGAGACGATAATAAAAAAAATAAGAATTTGGCTTACAAATGTCATAAGGAAGTAATGCAGCCTATTGTAAGGGACATGCTTTTTGAGAAGCTATGCCTTTTTCTTCTTTTTTTCTTCTGTTTTTTTAGAAGGGGACAGATTCAGCAATGTTTCAGTATTTAATGGCACCTGTTTGAAATGGAGGAGACATGTTGGAAGAGCTGGGGTGGAGGAAACCTACCTAGTGAGTAAGACATGTACACTTGTTGGGTACTAGGAGATAATTGGTTTGAGATTAAACGGTCTTCTGACAGATGTAATTGCTGTAAGTCAGAACTGTAAATTTGGAATTAAACTGGAGTTTTAGAGAGCTACTTGAATCTTTGTTTTTTATTGAAGATCATCTTAAAATATTTCCATTTCTATGATAGTTTCACATACAGGGTCGACAGGAGTACTTGGAGGAATTGTCCCATGAAGTGATGATTAACTTCACGACAGAGGAAGAGAACCCAGAGGTGTGTTTGCCTCTGCACCTGGGTTGTAACTACACTATCAGTATCACTGAGGGATCTACCAAGTTTGTTTTACAAATCCCCATAATACCTCCAGCAGCTGGTAAGTGTTGATTGCTTAATGTCTGAATGATTTTGCTTTATAATGTCTGGTGAGAAGATGTATATAATAATAACAGCAAAATAATAATAATAACAACATCATAGTTTGAATTTTGACCAATCCAATAAGTGAGATGTGAAGGTTGAAGGAGAAAAATGCAGGAGCAACTTGATATGACAGTCTTAAGCTGTGACTTTAAGGGGTCAGTTTCATCTCATACTGCTCTTCCTCAAAGGGCATTAGGTATGCAGAAGTGTTGAGGACTGTGGCACTCTCAGTTGGTGTTGTGGGTATCCCCCTACTCCCTGGGTCAGGCCCACAACTGTCCTGCCATGACTTGATGGAATTTGTAACTAAGAGGAGGGGTTCAGTGGTGTTCTCCTCCCTGGCCTGGAGACAGGGTTACTCTCAGATTTGTCATGGCTGGTCTTGGGGCTCCGCCTCCCCTACACCCCATCCACTCGCCAACCTCCAGCTCCGCTGAGCCGCTGTGCCAGCTCTTGGCTCAGCTTCTTGTATCCAGCTGGTGGATCTCTTAACTCCCCAGTCTCTACTCAAAGTGCAGGCTTACGACTTTGTATAAAAGAGGATTCTATACCTCTGAGGAAGAATAATCCTTCCAAAAGGAAGTACTAAAGCATGATGCCATAGCAGTGTCACCATACAGCAACACGTAGACACACTCTCTAAGAAAGAATGAATGAAGCCATAATGAGTGTTTCAAGTACAGAAAATATCCCATAAGCCTTTCTAAAGCAATATGATAAAGATTATTTTTCCTCAGAGGTATATAATCCTCCTTTATGCGTTTGTAAATGCTCCATATTAACACTCCTTGTCTTTATCCCGGTGTTTTGTTGGGGTTTTTTTGTTTTGCTTTTTGTGAACTGGTACAGTCTTCATCTTACAGAAATGTTTTCCAAATCAGTTTGAAGATGCTATAGACCAAGGGTGCTCAACTTTTTGACCCCTCAGGCCAAATGAGGCCTTGGTGCCTGGTACTCCCCCTTCCCACCCTCTGCATGCTGGGATTGGGCCCTGGGGCCCAGCGCTGCCCCCACCCAGTTCTGTGTGTTAGGATCGGACACAGGATCCATCATGCAGGACTTGGGGCTCCCAACAGGTCTGGAAATTTGGCAGCAGGGGCCGGCAAATTTCTGGACCTGTGGGGAGTCCCAGGATCCAGATGACATAGTGCCATGGGCCAGGGGTTGAGCACCCCGATATAGAATGATGAGTCTTGTGAGACTGAAAACCCAGTCATTCTGTAGCTTTAGCTCAAGGAGACTGACTCTCCACTGTCTCCGGTAGGTATCAGTAGTAGTGGAGCAGATACACTCATTACTGCTTTTTATTTGAAGTGGGCAATATCATTACAAGGACCCTTGTACTTTTGTGAAATGCTTGCCTGAGAATGTACATTCTAGCATAGCGTGCCAGGTACCTGCATGCTCTTCTGGTAGAAATGTTCCAGGAGTAATTAGATGATATCTCAGAGACTGTTCCATCTGGACTGGCCACCCATGTGAGAAAGATCAGTCTTTGTTCAGCTGTAACCTGAAAACCCTTAAACAAGATGCTGATGAGATGGTATAAATGAAAAGGCAGGTAGATGTAGTTCCTCTGTTGTTTTTCTTTTTGGTCTCACTGCAACTATAAAGTAGTTCTGACATTTTTTCTCAAGGCTTTCCAGCCATAAGAAGAGAAACTAAAAAAGGCTAAAACTCAAAAACTGGGGAGGCTTTTTTTGTTGCTGCTGTTTTCAGTGCTAGTGTGCGCCAAATGGATACTTATTAAATAATTGGTAGAGCAGAACTTTCTCCTTCATTTTATTTTATATTTCTAACTTCAGGAGCCTACAAAATTAAACAAAAACATCCCATTTACTTTTGTGCTATTTTGTGCCTTGTGAAAAGCACACTGAGCACATAGTAGAGCAGAAGAAGCAGGTGACAAATTATTATGGTTTAATGTTCACATAACAACAGTTTTCCTTCTGTGTTTGTATTTCTGCTCACAGGAGAGGAATTGCTCAGCAATGTGTCAATATTTAATGGGACCTGCGTGAAATGGCAGAGAAAAGCTTCAAGGGCCGAGGTAGAAGAAACATACACTGTAAGTGAAATGATATTTTTGAGTGTGAAGTGGAATTCTGGAGCTGAGTTGAGCAAATAGACAACTAACAACATATCTTGAGTGAGACCTGCTGTAAAGTAGAAAGAAGGGTAAAATTGCTCTGGTCTTTCCACCCAGTTAAAAGCTATGAAGCACTTTCAGTGAGTCTGGATGAATAATAGGGGAAGAGGAAGAATAGTGGAAAGGAAAGGTAAAGTACTATTAAAAGAGGAAAAGTGAAATACTACTGTTAAGTAGGGGTGTGCGAAACAGGCCCTATTTGATTCGGATTCAACCCAAATTGGGGACAGTGATTTGATTTGTTGATTCAGATCACTGTCCCTGATTGGATTTGGCCAAATCTGAATCTGAAGATTCAGTGTTGATTCAGAGAATCAGTGATTCGGACAAAGACACAACTTCAAATGTTTTTTCTACGTAGCTCAAGGTACCAGGCATGGCTCATGAATGCTGCGATGGTGGGGTGGATGGAGCATCCCACAGGAGCATGTGGGGGGCCCCCTGCACGCTCTCTGGTGGACCCAGAAGTGAACTGGAAGTCCTTCTGGTCCACTTCCAGGCCTGCTGCAGAGCACACTGGGGATCCCCCTGCACTTCTGTGGGATGCTCCATCTGCCCCAGCATCTCAGTATTCATGAGCTGCCTGCTACCTAGAGGTATGTAGAAAAATCATTTAAAGCTGTGTCTCTGTCCAAATCATCGAATCTCTCCAAATAGATTCGGCGGATTCTGATTTGATTCAGAGAGATTAAAGGGTCCCCTGATTCAGTTCTGATTCAGAGATTTGGCTACTGAATCAGGCCGAATCTCCACCAAATTTCAAATCAGGGACTGAA